ACAAACAGATTTGTCTCTTTTAGTGCTAGCCCATTGTATCACTTTCTATTCATGTGTTCTGTATTCAGTGGTATGGATGAGGTCTTGAGCTGCTGTCTTGCTGTTTTTTCTTTGTCCCATTTGTGTTGTTCTCTTCCTGCCTTATTTTGTGTTTTCTTTCGTGACTTCATTTGATTGCTTTTGGTGATTTGCTACCAATAACTTCTCAGTATATTTGGCAGTGACTTCCATTTCTGCTGTCATCCCTACTACCGTATGTCCTTAACTGATGCTCGGTCACTTCGGAGGGTGAGACTCACTGCAGTAACCTGCCGTGCTCCACTCCTGGCCTTTGTGCTGTGATTGTCGTACATTGCACTTAATACATTGGTGTTTTTGTTCTAAGCCACTGATTTTCTTTTAGTAAGATTTAAATAATAAAGGCAAAAGTGTTGTGATGCCCAGATAGTGTAATTAAAATTTCCTGTGCTCATCAGCTTCTTTGTATAGATTCGTATTTCCAGCTGGTGTGGTTTTCTTTCTGCCTGGATTCCTTCCTTCACATTTCTTTCTCTTGTGGCTCAGATGAGGATGAAGTGTTCAGGCAGATCTGGGACTCTCCAGGCTTGGGTTTTCTTCTGGGTGAGCGTTCTAGGTGGACAAGTATGCTGCTTCCTTCCTGTCTCCGGTGTTTTCAGTAAGAAGTCTCACCTTTGTTTCTGTGTGTTCTTCTCTGTAGTTTTAGGTTTTGTTGTTTGCTGTCACACATTTCCAGGTACACATACTGTGTCCTTGTGGTCATCTTCAAGTTTTTTAGGTCTGGGTTTCTTGAAATTCTTGAATTTTAAGTTTACAGTTTCTTATTAAATCTGGAAAAGAAGTTGTAGCCATCATTTATTTTTCAGTCCTCGTCCTTAGGGATTCTAATATTTTTTGCTAGTTACGGAATTGTCACATTTTTTTTTAAATCTCAAAATGCTGTTACTAACTTAACGTGGAATTTTGCTTTTTGATCTTAAAAAATCTCATTCACATCTCTGTGTAGCATGCTTAGTCATTCCTGTAGCTCCTTGAATATGTGGAGTAGTTAACATTCAGGTATCTGTGGCTACTCATTCTGTATCTCACTCCCAGTTTGGTTTATCCTCCTGGTTTCTCCTTCCCCGTGGCTGGGATTATAGGCATGCACCACCGCACCTGGACTCCCTTCGCAGGCTCAGCACGCCCGAGAGTGGGGCCAGCGCAGCAGCCGGCACCAGGGATCGAACCCTGGCCCCTTTGCTTCCTTAAGCAAGCACTTAGTCCGCTGAGCTATACCACCAGCCCTTTTCCGCTGATTTTGGTCACATCTTGCTGTTTTACATCCCTGGCACAGCGCTCTGTACCATTTATCTTACCTTCCTGGGTACCAGGCATTTCTGTATTCTTACGTGCTTCCGTTATGTGATAGCATGTCATTACTGAATTCTACCTTTTTAAGTTTTGGTTTTACACTTTGTTAGGCAGTGTGGCATAATTTTTCCCCCACTACCATGTAAGTCAAAAGTCCTCTGAATTACCACGGTGCCCACACTGGCAGGCCAGAGAACTCTCCTTGGCCTTGGGTGAGCGGCAAGGTTAGAAGCTCTCTTTCGGGTGCTTGCTTCCCGGCCCAGGTCATTTCTTCACAGAGCTGCTCAGCACCTGTGGGTCCCTGCAGGGTCCACATGCGCATCTCGCCCGGGGCCACCATCTCCTCCAGGCCTCTTCCCAAACACAGCTCCTCCCGCTGGGCTGCCTCCACCTGCACTCGCTCTCCACTTCTGACCAATCCTTCCCTTGGACCAGGGGAAAGCACTCCTCTCAAGGGACACTGTTGTTCGTGATGTCTAGCATCTGAGAAACTTTCATGTAGTCTGTCTAGTTAACTGGTTCAGGTAGAGTAAATCTCTGTCAATAACTCCATCTTTGAAACTGAAAACTTCAGGTCTGAATGGCCTCAGTTACACTGAGCTATTTGTGGGCCCGATGTTGGAGTCAAGACACTTCCTTCAGGAAGCCTGAGAACAATTTCCCATGTATTTGAAGCTTGTTCCTTAAAACCATATAGCTTAATTTTTATTTTTTTTCTGTTAACTCACAAAGTATGCTCAGTCTTGTATAGTAGACTGAACATTTTCATTATCAGTGGTACCCCATCTGACCCAAATAATTCCTACTTTTATAATATACTTGTAATGCCTCTTACCCTGAAGAGTGTCCACCATCAGGCTTTGTTTGGTTCCTGCACAGTTGTGTTCCAGATTCAGTGAGGCAAGGGAGTATGGGTGCCTGGTATGTTCTTCCCACCCCCATTGCAGCCTAGCAGTTCCTGCTGACAGTGTCAGTCGGGCCAACAAGGGTGCCGCCTCAACCCCCCAGCCCTGTACAGGGCTCAGAGTGGGCCCTGCCGCGGCTGGTCCTCAGTCGGCCCTTTGCTCTGTACTCTACTTAGAGAACTAATAGCACTCCAAGGACAGGAGGCATAAAGTCCCCTGTGGGTCCTGGGCAGTGGTCATTCTTGTGGTTCCTGGACCAGATGTTCTTTGTGAAGGATACTGTCACAAAGAAGTCCCTGGTTCAGTGACGCTGACCTGGAAGATGGCACTGTGTCCCTTCAGAGATCGCCTCTGGTGTGTCTGTGCCTTCAAAAGCAGCCCCAGGATCTGCCTGGCTGCTGTGGCTGCTGCTGCTGCTGGTATAACTGGGTCCCCAGATTGGATGCTGTACTGTGGGATTCTGTACTGTGGTTTGCACATTCCACAAGGATAAGGGTGCTGGCGGATGATCAGCAGAAAGGGAAGAAGCCCCTAGAATACCTATGAGGGTCAAGCCACTGGCCCTGGTCCAGGTGGCCACTTCTGTGTGCTTTACATTGTTAAGTCCTTGTGCATAACAAAGGTTCATGGAGGTTGCAGCAGGCTATCCAGTGAGAGGCAGCAGGAGCCAGGTTGACCTTGGTAAGTGGCACGCCCATATCTGGTGCCACCTGCGTGATGCTAGCTGCACTGCGCCCTGTGTCAGTTCCCTGTCCCTCGGTGGGCCAAGCTCCCTGCCTGCCCTGCGTTAGCAAGAGTCCCACAGGCGAGGTGCCGAAGGAGAGAAGTGAGTTTTCACCCCTCCAGCTCCCTCCCAAGCCGAGGTTTGGCCGAAGTGCTCAAAGGCACTCAAAGGTGCCTTTGAGCAAGCCACAGCTGCTGCTGAGCAACCTCAGAGCTTGAAACTTGCTCAGGGCTCCCGGAACAGCTCGCCCCTGCACATTCAGCTGGGGATGGCAGTGGCATCCTCTGCAGACAGCCCAGCGTGCCTCCCTGTTCATGGCCCGCATTCCCTGTGTCAACTTAGGGGTTGCGACCTGGAGGAGGAGGGCGGAGCCTGGAGTCCACACGGGGGGAGGCGGAGGCCCACTCGGTGGCGGGCTGGGTTCGCCGAGGCTGTGACGCACAGGTCATGTGTAACATACTGGTGGCCGTTAACATGTTTATGTAAGAGCATTAATTCGGAATATGGTTCTGGCCTCTTCAGAGTAAGCCTTCAGGTTTGCTTGGCCAGTACTTTTCAGTTAGTGGTTAAACACTAAAGCACCAGGTTGGAGCATGGCCGTGGCTGCCAACCACCTAACTTGAACGGTTTAGCTGAGGCCACAGCTGCAGAGGTGCAGAGGTGCAGAGGCGCAGAGGTGCAGAGGCGCGGTGCGGCGGGGCAGTGCAGGGTGGTGCGGGGCAGTGCCCCCGCCTCGAATTGGAACTCGGGAGCCGCGGCCGCGGTAGCTGTCGGGCTCTGTAGTATTTAGAGGTAGTTCACTACAGAAGTTAAGTAAACTACAAGCCATGCAGGAAGCTAGAATGGGCCTTTTGCTGAAGGATTGTGGCCTGCCCAAATTACAAAGCCGGAGCTAGCGATTTGTTTTTAACTGCAAATTACCGGAGCTAGTGCAAGTACCTCGGTGCCCACTTGAGGACATGGACGCGCCTGGCAGGGCGAGGCTGTCCTCAGCCTCCCTGCCCTCATGTTTCGGCCACTCCTGCAAACACGAGTTTCCCTCTGCACTTTGACGCAGTCTCGGCGCAGGTCAGACGTGGCGAGTCTTGGAAATATGCAATTATTTTTGGCCAGGTTGTGTTTCCACCACAGAACCAACTCGGGAGGCTCCACAAAGACTGCAGCACCTTTTCTGCAGCTGTACCAAGTCTCCGTCGGCCTAAAGAAGCTTTTCTGGGGTGTCTGCGGCTAGCGGTGCTGCAGCCTCCGCGTGGCGCTGAGGTCGCCCTCGGCCGCCAGAGGGCGCCGCTGCACCGGCGAGGTCCTACCGCTAAGTTTGCAGCGCTCGCGCCGCTGAACTGTTACCGTACCTAAAAGCGCAGGGAAAGTTGCTGCAAGGCGCGTTAGCCCCAAGGCACGAAGGCGCCCGGCCCCGGGCTGCAGAGGCGCCAAGGACTTCCCCGCCGGCTCGGGCGCGCGAGCTCGGCACTCTGGCCCCTCCCCACGGGCGGCTGCTCCTCCCCTGGGTGGGCCCGGCTCCGTTTCTGGCGGGGTGATTTGCATAGAGGAAACTGCCCGCAGTGGCCGCCGCGCGGAGCTGGCTGCGAGGAGCTGCCGGCCAGGGGGCGTGCGCCGCAGCGCTGTCCGCTGCCGCCCGGAGGCCGGCCCCGCGTCCCTCGCTTTCGCCTGCGTCCTGCTGCGCTCCAACCCTCCGCGCCCTCGCGAGCCTCCAGAGACATGAGCCCGGCGGAGCGCCCGGGCGGAGGCGGCCACGCGCGCAAGAGCAGCCCCGCGGGCCCCGCGACGAGGGCCGGGGCGC